ACATTCCCTGTAGCCATGATCATCCCTCACCGAAATTATCATTCGTTTGCGTTGATGAATGATATTGCTATTGTGAAGGTAACCATCTGCACTATCAAATCTTATCAATTGTTTGGGTAATACTATCTCATCATTCAGCTGTGGGATTATTCAGATTAATTGACTATTGATTTTACAGTTGGCTCGTCCTATTCCCTTCAACTCTCTTCAAAAACCCATTCGCCTACCAACAAAAAACACTTTCCCTGGTACCGTTGCCACAGCTAGTGGTTGGGGAGCTGTATGGGGAGATAGACCAGAAACAGCGGGTCCTTTGCCGAAATATTTGCAACAACTTGGGATGATTGCTATCAGCCGGGGTGAATGTGCCAGAATGCATGGCAATCAAATATTTCCAGGACAATTATGCGCCACTCGTACTCGAGGAACTGGAATCTGTTTCGTATGTATTCTCTTTTATAAAATTAATACAAATAATTGAAACGATTCAATTTTTGTAGATATTGATAGGGAAGACCCGAATAAAATGGGAGATCTGGGGAAAATGTAAAATTTACTATTGGATTTCCATCACATTTTATTATTTGATTTTAGGGTGATAGTGGCGGTCCTCTTATCAGCAATGGTGAAATCATAGGGATTGCTTCCTTCGTAAAGGGCGGATGTGCTAGTCAATACCCAGATGTTTTCACACACGTTTACCTTTATCTGCCATGGATTCAGGAAGTCTTGGCACGTTATTAATCGCAATCGATTTTCTAGTCGTTTAATTTATCAGTTACTAATTCATCATTTTTATGACAATACGTTGAATGTATTTTTATGCTCAAATGTTGTTTCGATGTTTATATTATTAATTGTTGTACGTGTACATTTTGCATCTATTTATTGTTTTTTTATATGGTTGGTTGTTTGATGCGATGACTTTATAAATCATCTGTCATAAATCAATCAATTAAATTTCTATTACGAATGAATAAACAATGAAAACAATGTTTCACTGCCAAATAAATTGTGTCCCGATTGCCCAAATGTATTCGACACGAGCAAGTGTCAGTTTCTAGGAAATGGAAATAATTTAATGAACGGAATATCATTAGAGTTGTAGTGAACGATGAGCTTAGCCTACAATTGAAATTTAAAAACGAAAACAACACCCAGGTGTATATAAGACTGGATAATGGTCTGAAGACTTCAAGTCGAATTAGAGCCGACCATGGTATCCCAGAAAGTACAATCGCTGATATTATCCTTGGCTATTTTTGCTTTCGGTGAGCTTACAAAATACTGAGATTTTTTATTGCTATAATAATAGAGAAATGAGATAGAACGAACGTAAAATGAGATTGGTGATGGGCTTCCATGTGCTAAAGCAAGCCCAGATGTCTTCACACGTGTTTATGCTTATCTTCCATGGATCAACGAAGTTTTGGCACTAAGTCATCAAAAATCACGATAATTTTCCACAATAATTTGATTGATTATAGTGTAAATTTTTTGAAAATTCTATTTACAATCGATTACCTTT